TCCTCTTTGCTTTCGTCTGTCTTCGCTAGTTTTTGGTCTTCACTTACTTCTGACTCCAAAGATGGTTTCACCTCCAAAAGATTTCCTCCGTTATCATCGACCCGTTTTTCCTCAATTTGGATTGTGCCGTCCTCGTCGTTTTTGTCTGTCTTCGCAAGTTTCTCGTCTTTATTTACTTCTGACTCCAAGGATGGTTTTACCTCCAAAAGTTTTCCTCCGCTATCCTCGATCCGTTTTACCTGAACTTGAATTGTGCCGTCCTGTCCATAACCATTAAGGGTCGCAAACTTTACATGGGAGCCGGAGCCCCTTCGTTTGCTCGAGGGTCTCTCTGCAATAGGCGCCTGTACTCTAGAAACAGTATCACCATCTGCACTGACAACTGGTTCGCTCACTTCGTTTGTACTACTCAAACCCGAGACACGAATAATGTCACTGCCAGTACTCTTCCTGCTGCTTTCCCTTGTTGACTTTCTTGTCTTTAAGTATTGGAGGAATCTTGGTCGGACGTAAACGAGGAAATTGAAAAATCCTTGACTAGGTGTAAGAAATGCTGTGCGCAGCGTTCATGATTATCAACAACATTTTCAAATAAACGTAAAAAAATCTGATGAGTGTCTGTAATAATTTATGAATAGTATGACAGGACAAGTGCGAAGCAGGAGTTCGATCATGAAAATAAAAGGATAATGACATCGAAGGTCTTACCAAATGCCAAGGTTATTCCATACGGTACCGATCTGTTAGCGAGTTGCAGCCCGCGAGTTATCGTTCCAAACAACCATACAAACATGAAGGTTCCTGCGTAAAACAAACCTTGAGTGGCAACGGCCCGCGAACGTTCGTGACGTCGTTCCATTCGTTGCCTCTTTGCATCAACTCCCAGTCTGACAGACATTCTCGACATAATGGATGATGCTCGACCACCCAAGGAAGTTCCGGAAGCGACACTTGCTGTTGCTTCAGCGGCGGCGTTCTCTGCTGCTCTGTCCCGATAGGATTTAATATATTCATCCATCTTTTCATCAAGACCCTTGACATAGGCGTACACCAATGACATCGAAATACAGACCAAAAAAATCATGACCCACAAAGGAATGTAGTACAGTATCCAGCGCATTATGCTGGCGTTGTGTCCCCGCTCGCACGGCACTTGACCTTCCCCAGTGCCACATCCGCTTGGATAAGGTGCGACCCAGCACCATACTTTGGAGTTGGCATACAGTTTGCAGGCCAATCCTGCTATTGCCGTTGAAAGCCCAAAACCAATAGATATGAAATGACCAGCATATTCGACATACTTTTTGAACTTATCTTCTTTCCATTCACAGCGAATCGTCAGATAGTAATACAAGGACAGCAATCCGTTGTAAAAGGGAGTAATGATGCCAAATTGAATGAAAAATGCTTGAGCCGTACATGTTTGGTTGTTTCCGGAATTCCCGTACAGACCCTCTGCTTCTTTTGGGATTGGCCAGGTGGTGCAAAACCAGGCGATCGAGACAATAAAATCAGATATGGACATGCACAACATCAAACGATAGTATGCAGAATTATTGAGGTTTTTCCGTACGAAACGCCTCGAACGACCGCTGCCCGTCGAAGCTACCGATATCTCCAAATTTGATCCCGTCTGTGAGGCATCACTCTTTCTTTTCCACCATTTCTTCGAAACATTAAAATGACTGGTGATAATGTCATGTACTATAAAACCACTGCCTAAGACCGAAAGGAATGCTGAGAACTTGGGTAGAATCGCTATTGCTATTTGCTCTCCCTCTGACCAAGGCATTATGACAGTTACTCTTCGAATTGTATTCTTCAACAGTTACCAACCTTCTAGTTCTGATCGATCTATCGTATGTCGTACACGGTAAGAACGAACTTTGCGATGCCGTTGCCTTGAGGTCAAAGAGAAAGGGATAGACCCCAACAATCAGTTCAAATGGCTGGAGAATGCGAATGCGGTATGTTTCAAGCAAAGTTTTCTCTCTCAAAAATTTCGCGTTGTCGACATGTGTTGCTATGCAGTTTAAGTGGGCAACATGGGGGGGAAACTAGTTCTTCAGTCTTTGCGGTACGTAATGTATTGTACTCGTTGTTGTTGTCCCATCATGTCGTTAAATTAATGTATCGGCGTTTCTGTTTGTTCAAAATATCAAAGGACCCGTGCAAGTACTTAAGCTACGGTACGATGCTGTACAAAGGAGCGAAAATAATCATGCGTTTTGAAAGCTCTTTTTTCTTTTTCAGTTTTCAATGTAAAGTTCCCCTGGGCAATGACATTTTTAGCGACTACTATTTCGAACATTACTACTGCCAAATAAAAATAGAAAATTCTCTTCAGTAAATAGAGCCCGCCAGAAGCAATTTGTTGACATCTATAGGTCATGTGACCCCGCACATGTGAACCCTGAGTAGATTGACATACTGGTACGTACGCAGATATCATAAATTAAGGAGGGGTGTGCCAGGGGTCATAATTTAGAGGGGTGCGCATCCCGTCGAAACTCATATTCCATGTTAGGAACCAAGAGGAAAAATTTGAAATTTTTCTGGCTGGAAATCTCTTGGATGACTTCAACATCTGTTGGAAAGATCGTGATGCTGCAGTTTATGAATTATTGCAAGGAATCACACCAAATTGTGGTAAGAGAAACAGAGAGGAGGGAATCCACCAAATTCTGACAATTGCTACTACTAGTAGTAGTACTACTACCTTCCTTGACCCAAGAACCAAGAGCTTGGTAAACATTTTTGGAGAGGAACAACAAGAACAAGAAGAAGATGATGATAAAATGAAAACAAAAGATATGATTCACACCACCAGAACCAAAGAAAAATGCAAAGAAGATATTCACAGCAAAGTACTGGAACTGATGAAAGAGTCTGAGTCCAAGAGACTTGAAGCTGAGGGATTGGCTACCATGGAGGCAACTAGTACTAGTAACAACACCATGGAACAACAAGTTGAAGAAGGAGATACTACTACTGGTGTTGTTGTTACTGATGATGTTGTTGATGATGTTGACATGAACATGTTTGAGCTGATGGAGGAAGAAGAGGCAAAAGCTGAAGAGGATAATCACCATCAATTTAGCAATGGTGCAGCAGAGGTCAATATTGATCATGCTTAGTAGAGACGTGAACTTCTTGAGCTATACACGTGTTCTGAGCCCTTGTTGCTGGCCTTGTTAGTAGTCAAGAAGACAATTGGAAGTATGATAGTTAACAATGATCCACTCCAGCAGTGGTGAAAAAAACACCAGGTAAGTTATCCAATTCTTGCGAGGCTGGCCAAGATCTATCTTCCTGTGCAACCCACTTCAGCCTCATCTGAGTACGTCTTCAGCCAWGCTTCTTCCAGACTCCTCTCACCAGCAAGGTTCTCCCGCGTGGATCCAGAGTATGCAGGAAAGTATTCTTTGTATCTAAACACTGGGAGTGGTTTGAGAAGCAGATTAATTTGGCAGAGATTGAGATGGCTGGAGCAGATGGTGAGGATGTTTATAATGAGTAAAGGTCTAAGAGGAGGAACAAAGACTTCATTTGCCTTGACTTACTAAGAAGTTGTTTTTTGGTGCCGAATCATACATGTGCATCTGAAATTGGATACACATCCTAGTAATTGGTAAATAAGTAGTAGTAGTAGTGAATAATGATGTTTGGACTGTTGTCAYAGCTTTCCAATAGAATTTAGCATTATCAACATTTCAAGTGTTTACTAACGCTAGCATTGCTAACACTCAGGAAAATTTTTGCAAATGTTTCACTTTTTTTCACACTAATGTTTTTCCAACGTTCTAACAAACTTTTTGGTTTGTAATGTTTTTAGGAATGTAACATTTTACACAAATGTTACATAACTCTAAAAATTTMCCCCCAGGGATTTTTTTCAACTTCAAAATACCAGGAAAGAAGCTACTACTATCCAACCTTTCAGCACTTACAACTTTATCAAAAATAGTACTATTTTGATTTTTAATGGTTCTATCTACACCAGATTTTAATGAGGATTCCGAATATGACAATATTTCCAGTTACAAATGGAGTGTTAAAGTACATTTTTAATTTTCTTAAATCAATATAAAAATTACTACYCCAAGGATTTTTATTTGTAAAATTATTCAACAACCTTTAAGTAGTCATATTTTTATCAAAAATASTACTATTTAAATTTTTGACTGTATTAGCAAATGGAATGCAAGGAGTTTACCTTATTATATGAAATGAAAAATCCACGGGAAAATTACTAGTAGTAGTATCACCACTAGTAGTAGTAGCTAGTACTAATGCTACTTGTAGAAAATACTACTAGTACTACTAGTAGTGCTACTACTAGTAGTACCACTTGCAGTAACTACTAGTAGCACTACTACTAGTAGTACTACTACTAGTAGTAGTACTAACACTACTAATAAAAAGGTATACCACTAACATTCCATTTGTTACTGAAAATATTGCCAGATTCAGAATCCTCACTAAAAACTAGTAGTGTAGATAGTACAGTCAAAAGAAATTAAAATAGTACTAGTATTTTTAATAAAGATATAATTCCTAAAAAGTATAGTAGTAGTTTTACTAGTATTATGCAGTAAATTGGAAATTTCCAGAATCCTGCAGTGTGTCCTTCTGGGTATTAGTACTAGTGATTGCCCTAGCAGTTTGGAACTGAAGATGCCTTGATATGGTGTGGAAAAACAGTATTCCATTTACAGTCATAGTGTCCACAAGCAGTGGTGTGGTGCCAAGCTATGATTCAGAGACACTGGTGGTGTGGGGGCCTTGTTTTTTATCCTCCCGCATGTGGTGTTCTGCCCTGGTCCATAATCAAATGCTTCCTGATATATAATCTCTGCATTCTTGACATCCCCCTTTGTGTTATGGTGGAGTTTGCTAGTAGCATCTTGTTGTCAGGCATGCTTACTATCATATCCTTTGATGTTGAGAATCCTATGATCTCCTGTAGCTTCCTTACCTTTTCTGCCCTATGGCAATWCAAATCAAAGAACTGTTCTTTGTTTTCTTGAACACACAGAATGGTCAACAATGTGTCTTCTTCTTGGGACCCAAAATCTGCAAAAAGTTGACCCATCCTCTTTGTGGACATGCATGATTGTGCTGTCTAGTGCAGTGCCCACTGTGGCATGGAAGTGGTCTGGCATGAGCGCTAGAGATAGTACAAATGGAATTCCTTTGCCATGACAGAACCACACTTTGCCAAATCCTGGGAGATCAGCAATCATGTTGGTGTGTGCTACCCCTGAGTTGCAACCAATAGCCATGCTGCAGCTACTATGCAGGGCTTTGAGGATATTCTTAAACTAACTATGGATTAGCTTTCAAGTTGTAGAAAAATTCACTATCTAGTAGGAGGATCCAATCGTTGTTGACTTGTCCCCCATTTGCTGCCATTCTACATTGCAGCTGTAGCAAAACACAGTGACTACACCAAATCTTAGGGCCTGTTGCGTAGTGACCAGTGTCCCAATGGCCAATCTGTGATTCCAAGAGGTTTTGGATGTTACTTGCCTGTTTCCAAATACCATTGTCATAGATGCACACCTTGCAGTTCATCACAAAACGGCTGGAGAAACATTTCCCCCACGCAGTTCTGAGGTACTAGGTACTGTCTTGGGTAGAGGTTGACAATCCCTTTATTTTTGTTGCCAGAGTGCATCATTGGCAATGTTACCCGTGAGGTGTGTGCCAGGGTTGTTGTGAAAGTGATCTCCATATATCTCATTCAATTTCAAATCCACTTCAGTGAGCATGTAGTCAGGGACATCTGCTCCTGCATCAGGAACAGGTAGGAGATCTGGCGGAATAGTGGTGGTATGAAACGGGGCTGAGGAATCTGGAGGCTTTGGTGTTTTGGCACAGCGCCAAGGAAGAGCTGCATTTGCTGCATTTGCCTCCTGCAGCTCCAGAACTTCCTCTACAGTTCTGTTTTGAGCCTCAGGGTGATAAGGAGCCTCATTCCTTCTCTGTCAGCACTATTGGAGCCCTCTGGGCTTAGCATGGGCCCTAAAAATAAAACATCTCCTAGGAGGTGTGGAATGAGCCTCCAAAGGCGGCGCTAAATGAGCCTCCAAATGAGACACACCAGGGCAAGCCTTGGAAGCACCAGGATTTGTCACAGCCG